GTCAACTCCATCAGGAGCTGAAAGAGATGAAGTCCCTCGTAGGAGGGAGATGAGGGAGCGACAGCGGCTCCTTGTCCAGGCTGTCCAAACAGGCATGGTCTGATAACTTGAGGGTGTCAGATGATGCCTGGGATAATTGCGCCCATTGGAGGCATGAGTACAATAGAGCATGAAGAGATGCCGAGGGCATCTTCGCCTCTCTGAAAGACACAGAGAGAGAAGTTGATCTCCAAAAGAGGGAGATTGAATTACTAAAATGTGAGCTCAAAGAGGCACATGCACTGGCAGACCTCACTGCCAAACCCATCATGATGGGGGCCTCCCAGGTGTGGGGGAGGGGATACGGTGCTGGGGCATTGACTATCCCACCACCCCATGGGCAGGCGACCCTGTCTGGGTTGCATAAGGGCCCACCCTCAGAAGGGCAAACCCATGTCGAGGGGAAGAGGGAGAGTGGTAGGCAACCAATGGCAGACCCCAAAATGGGGACCACTGCCAGAGGTGGTGGGCCACTGAGTACCTCAGCACCCTATGGGCAAGCTACCCTGCAGGGAAGTGTCCACATGTTATACGAGACTGCTGAACTCAATGAGTTCAGTAAAGTCGAAGCTCCAGTCAACGTAACAATCGACCCCAACTTCCCCATGAGGAGAATAGTGGGGTCAGAAGCGGTGCACAACGCCGCATATGCTTGGTGGACAAGCATGAGTGGAAAAGAATTTGTACACTGGTATGAACAGGCCAAAGCTGCCTTTAAAAGCGGCAAGGTACATAGAGTCCTTCGTGAAAAAGCCAAGGAAACCGAGAAATACTTCTTGGGACTCCAGAGTATTGCAAGACTCATGGAGGAGTACAATTCCCTGGAGAACAAGGGAAAAATCTCTGGGAAAGTCTAGGCAAAGCTGCCTATATAAAGTCCCAGTTCAAACCACTCAGGACTCCTGAGGAACGCACTGCAAGAACTGCGGAGCGGGAAGCAAAAGCTTCCAAATACCAGGAAAGAGATGGATGCGCTGGACAAACAGGCCAGCGACCACCCTTCCCCATGGGAAGAACAGTAGACCTACCATACTCTACACCTGAGCCAAGTAGCTCAAGAACGCAACAACCTGCTCCCACCCAGGGAGTGCCCACTTCATTGAGCCCACAGCTTGACAATGTAGCCCAGGCTACATCATCACATCCGATGCAGCAATCAGATGTCCAGATGAACAACCCAGAGGAAAACCCTCCTCCAGGGCAATAACTCTACCCTTGAGGAAAGGGAAAGTGACACAGTAATACACCATTGAGGTGCCCGTGAAAACACCTCGAGGCCCTGCACACAATATTGTATGCAAGGAACTGCAAGTAACAATTGCGGAAATCTCTACTTCATCAAAAACCCACATCCACCACCACTCATGTGTAAACACCATTTACACACGAATCCTCACAGAACAAGTGAGGAGGAACACCAAAGTGTCAGGGCACACCCACCTGACCTGGCCCCACCCGGCCCCACTTCACCTGGTACCCCACCACCACCCAGTCCTCTCCTACCTCCTCCCCCCTTCCTCTTTCTTTCTTCCCCCATTTCACTTCTTCATCTATTTCACTTTCTCTTTATTTTCTCTTATTCTACACAGACAACCTTTCTCTGTATCAATGCACCATTGACCCACCCGCAGCGTGCTCACAACATGCCCAGCCTGGGCCCTTTGGGCAACCCCCACTATGTCCAGCTTGCACATTCACAGCGGACGCCCTCAGGATCCCCCATGGGGACACCCAGGTGACTACAGCTGTATGCGAGGATGACGTGGCACCCATCATGTGACCCAAGCCGCATGTATATAAACATACCTGAAGTGGGAACCGAAGAAGCAGCCTTCTTCTCACCCTTTTCCACTTCAGGTAAGTAGCATAGCATTCCCTTTTAATAATAATAAGACCCTTTCCACTTCAGTCTAAGTGGCCAGGGACTGCCTCCTGAGCCGGGCCCACCAGTATGCATGCTCACTCCACACCCCACGAGACTTCTAGTGTCGGGCATCTCACCTGGGCCTCCTCTACCCTGGACGCGTCCCTGACACAAAGACACATAATCTTTGGGTCAAATTTCATTTTTGAAAAACTCCTTCTCTTCATCACTTTCCCCTCTGATATACCCATGTATCGCTGTTCACTTCAAAGTGACAGCCCCACACCCATTTATTCCCTCAATTCCTCTCACTGACATGTATAAATTGCCCACTTTAAAGTGGCAACAATAAAACACTCATTGATAATCTCAAACTCAATGTAACTCATTTTTTTAATTTTATTCTCTTCATCATTAACCTTGTATGCGTTGCAAATGCAATGCAAGGGGGGAGAATGTCAGGGCAATAGTGTCAGGGCACGGACGGTTATCCGGCCGGCCCGGACCTCTATCCGGATAGGTTGAGTACCCGTAAGTCGATATCTGCGTGTGATTTGCCGTAGTTAGAACGCAGGCTGTATTCAATGCGCTATTTCCGCTATCGCGTCATCCCTCACCCGTTATCGCCCCCTTATCCGCATGATCTATTCTCCTATTTCATGTCACTTCTCTATCGGCTACCATGTGTTCCCAGTGTAGCTGCGCTCTTATGAGTTGCGGAACTCATGTATATAAGGCCTTATTGCCAGCTGGGTTGGCCCCCCAGCTTTTACAACGACTAGTTTCCCGGGGAGATTCTTACGCGCAAACTGACGCGTGGACTCTGACAAATAGCCCCAAACCCCGAGCCATATGTAATTACAAGATACATATAGTCACATGGGTAAGTGGTAACTTCCGTTAACTGCTTACACACACCATAAAATACACATCTTTGTATCACTTACGGCTCTGTGTGCTGAGCTACCCCACTGCGACCTCACAATGGTGTCCATTTCCTTGTTTCTCCAGGCCTCGGACACAGCATTCAAGATGTCATCATCAGATCAACATTTGTTGGGGTCATTGCCACACTACTCTATCGTTTCTGAGTCACCCATTGCACACAAGATGTGGATGACCCCTGATGGGTGGTTCACAATACTCATCCTATTTCTCCTATTAAGGATACCCTCTTTTCATAATATTTTCTGTGCCATTCCATGATTACTAACTGTCACTTAACATTTACATGTCACATACTATGGGTTACAGATCAAATTTCAATATAAAAATCCCCATTCACGTTATGGGTTATGGGGTGTTATGGAAATGGGAATTTCCCATTTCTAGCCTCTTATGGGCTCTGTACAGTACAAAGTCACGTGATATGTAAATAATAACAACTCAACCATCTACAACCACAAAATTCCACACTCTGTTAATGTCATTGTAAAGACAACTGTTAAACAACTGTTACATTAACTGTAACACTATTTCGATGTCATGGCCACTCCCTGCACCCAGACGCTATAGAAATGGGCCAATTAGGCCCCATTTTTATAACATGGGGGGTGGCAGGTTCATGGGTTAGGGTCTGGTTTTTGATAGGAACTGTAGTGGTTCCCAGAAATCCCTATGGGTTATCGCAGGTTATGGGTTATTGTTAGAACGGGTGGATTCGGACGACTCCAGAGTGGAATCGGAGACTTAGCATGGAAGGACCTCGGCCTCAGCGACTCAGGCGGAGTGCTGTGCCATTGCTGGTTGTCCTGGGGGTCCCTAATTTCAGATCTAGCAGAGGGAAAGTCTCTTGGGGGCATTTCAGGTCGATTTTGGACTGAGGTCACAAGTTACTATGTACATTGTATATAAGGAGGGGTCCGGAATCAAAAGGAGCGAGGGTACTCTGAAAGGAGGGGCAACACCGAGGGTCAAGGGTTTGACTCAATGGTGTTTCCCAAAGGAGGAGTGAGGGCCAAGGCCCAAGGAGGAAGGAGGGAGGATGGGAGTGGGGAATGGCCAGCTGACTGAATAGAAAGGAAGCAGCAGCCCAAATAGGAATGAGGGAGCAATGCAATAGTTGCACTGACGTAAGTCCGGAAAGTCCGAACTCGGAAGTTAAACTCCGGAATATTGGCAAAAATAATTAAATGGAATGAGCTAACCAATACAATGGGTATAAGCGGAGGTGGGGTCAAAGTCCGAGGTCGGAGCTAAGACCAGAGGTTCCGGAGATGGAGACACGACTGGGATTCCGGAGCGGAGGTCCGGAGTCGGGAGCATAGGTGTTGCGTGCTCATCTGGGAGGTGTCAAGGTTCAGGTCGGACCTGGAATGTTCCAGAGTCAGACCAAAGGTGGTGTTGGAGCCGGAGGTGGGGTAACCTCTTGGAAGTCGGCAAGGAGGAGGTGATGGAAGGGGTGATGTTTGGTCTGAGATGAGTATCGGAGCGGACGGAGATAGGGTAGGAGAAGGACAGGAGGGTGGAGGTGGCATGAGGGGTGAGGGGAGGTGTGGTGTCAGGTCCGAAGGTGAATATCGGAACAGACAGTGGTAGGGTAGGACTCTGGAAGTCGGTTCGGAGTTCCGGGAGCCTGGAGCAGGGGTCGGGATTGTATGGATATGACAGTTATCTCAGGTATGGCCTATCACAGTTTCAACTGTATCTGCCTATCTAATCACAATTCCTGGGTCCTGCAAATTTTTCGCCCAGGACTGAATTCCAAGGTCCTCCACTATTGCCAATTCTCCATAACCTCACTGACCAATACTGTACTAGCATGACCAACAACCGGTTCCCATGGCCTCCGGGAGTTGCCGGAGGCTTTCAGTTGTATTAAATTTCAATTCAATCCAAGACCCTCGCGTTATGCATTACCGGTTGTTGGTCGTGCTAGTGTATCGGCTCTCAGTGCAAGTCCTGTCCTTATATACATCTAATGTTAGTTCTACACCACTGAAGTGAAACGCGAGCAGTAGTCAAAGCGTGAAAACAAAGGCCCAAAGCAACATTATGTTCACCGTCGATTGCCCCAAAAGCTCCTCCTTCCCAAAGCTCTCAAAGCGTGAATGTACGGTCCGGTGACCACCAGTGGCGTCGGGCTGTAACTTCCAACACTTCCGATGCTGATTCCTCTGATGTACCATTTCTTCACTGTACATATCATTCAATGCACTTCCGCGTCATCCTTCATTCTATGCTATGCAGGTCGTTGCGATGCGAAGCACGCACTCTAGTGACATGTCTGACATGAATTTGACGAGTCAATGTCTGACCATGTGACCGCTTGTGACCATGGTCCAACACTGCAAGTTATCAGGCGCGGGCCTCGACGAATTGATGTAAGTCGAGGGGGTCATATCTGTTTTTGGCCCGGCATGGACCTAGACCTACACGCGGTGCCCCTGTTCTTGACTGATTAGGTCTATAACATCAAGCTGAGTTGGGCCTCGACGATGGATGTCAGTCGAGGGGGAGTTCTGCCACCACAGCGAACACCCGGCACGGGCCTAAACCTTCACGCGGTGCCCCTGTTTAAAACTAATTAGGCCTCTAACATCTGAAGGGAGGATGACGTGGCCACCGTGGTAATGCCAATCAACCGCAACCCCGTAAGCCCAGAGCCGCACTGGCTGGAGAGATGCAAGAGCGCGGGTGCATGTCCCGCCGTCAAGCCAACCCTTCCTTTTTCTTCTCACCACTACCTTTTTGGGATGACGAGCGCGATAGTGGCAACGCCAATGGTGACCTCCGTAAGCCCAGACGGGACTGGCCAGAGGACTGTGGGTTCAAGTCCCACCGTCACCCCAACCCTTCCTTCTTTTTCTCTTCTCCACTACCTTTTGGGATGGTGAGGTGCAATCGTGGTAGCGCCAATGGTAGCCTCCATAAGTCCATGGGCAGGCCGGAGGAGTGCAGGTTCAAGTCCTGCCATCACCCCAACACCCTTCCGATTCATCTTTCTCTCCACTACCTCTTCGTGACGAGGCGCGATAGTGGTAGCGCCAACGATAGCCCCATATGCCGACAAAAAGTTGACTGCAAGGAATGCAGGTTCAAGTCCTGCCGTCACCCCAACACTTTCATTTCTCTCCACTACCCCTTCTACCAAAGGCCTATCTGCCACATGCCTTTATTCAACAAGCATGAGCAAGATGCCACCAACACCCATCGCCTTTCGCTGCCACTGGAACATTCACCAGCCTACCGTGACATAAACCCGTGAAAGCACCCTCCAACTCACCCACCCGCAAGAACCGCGCACTCAACCATTGACTTAACCATAGGCACACAGCAGCAAAACATGCGACCCCAACACTGGGGGTCGCGTGTCCTTTTCTCTATCCAATCTCTTTCCACCTTCATTCTCCCTCACCCGTTGTTCAATCTCAGTGCAGGGGTCGCATGCCCCTTTATGTGTTATTGCTTCATCTCACTTTATTCTCCTTCACACCATTGATTACTCGATGTCTCATACTTCCTAGGTCAAACAAATTCCTTCTTCACATCCTTATGTTCTCCACACTTTTTTCACCCGAGTCACTATAGTACGGCATATGCCGATAGGCACGGTTACGTACTCTAAAATGAATCCATCCATCCATCCATCCATCCAAGTTATCAGGCGACCTCAACAATTCCCGTCCCGTCCCTCTCTCAAAAAGCGCTCAGCGACGCCGCCAGTATTGACAACGTACCATCCAGAGGCCCAGTAATCGTTCCCGGAAGTTCCCCTGGACTATGCAAGTCCAACAACAACAACAACAACCCTCGTCCACTCAGCACGCTTTACCATCACTTCAAAGCATCACCCTTCCTACATCGTCATCCAAGTCTCCCTTCTTTGCCGTTCCAGCAGTACCCCATTTGCAGCAGCCTACTACCTCCAGACCCCAAGCCAAGCCATCTTTTACAATCCCTCACCCAAACCCAGTAAAGCCAGAACAGACCCCTCCATCCCCAAACATCTTCACCTACAAAGCCCCAGCGCACAAACATGCCCACCATCTTCATAGCATACCTCCAAAGGAGAAGACAGTCCAGACTTTGATGTATTTGTTTTGAGATCACACATCCCAAACGCCGTTACTGACGCAACATTCCCAGTCTTGATCATATGTTATGGCTGCATTCACGCACTCGTTTCAACCAGGTTAGATGAAGCTGCCTGTTGGTAAAATCAACCGTAGCGCTCACATGAGAGGCGCTGGTATTCCAGGTCAGATCTGAGCTGGGAATGCAGACTGGGTCCCCAGAAGGTCCAACCGAAAAGGACGTCACTGAAACTGATGATGAACTTGCTCGCGAGCTACTTTTTGGGTTAACCGGGGACGACCGGTATAAAGGCCTCAGTGCTGATGCGAACCGGTATGTACCAAATGTGGACATTGAGACCGCGAAAGTTCAAAGGGCGAACGCAGAAGGAATGGAGAAGGTTCGCCATTCATTTTCCCCTGCATGTTTTTCCACCCCATGTTGATGTCTCCTATAGGTTCTTACTTCCTTACTCACCCAGCGGTCCGTTGGTTCTCGTCACACTCACGAAGTGAATCCTGGAGTTCCGGGGGTGTTACCAAATGGGGTTAGGATTAGAATTGTGCTTTCTGCTCTTGTCAACGACCTGTTCGCACGCGATCAGCACCTTTTTGGCCCCGATGAGCAACCAGAGAACGTGCTTTCAGGGTTGTCAAGTGATTTGTCGCCCATGTCCATTGCATCAATCGTAGCCAGCGGCACCGCTTCCTCCACTGAATTGCGCTGGGCCCAAATGGATTTTGAACCGTCGCCAGGCGTTCCCATTTCCCTCGCCCCCCTCACTCCGATCTCGTCCTTTCAGCAAACTAGGGTCAAGTCCAGCCTTGCCTCGGAATCGAAGTCAGGTGGACCTCCAGCGCGATCTATTTTTTCCTCGATTCCTCGTGGGGCCGGTATGGAGTCTCCATGGGCGCTTGGATCATTGAACAGTCTATCTGCAAGGAGACCCGAGTCGGCATCGGCATCCCACTCCGTTTCTAGCCCGCCCTTTGCTTCATCATCTTCGGGGTCGCATGCAAGCCGAGGCCCTCGAGTGCGCAAAGCTGTCGGGCGTTCTCGGGATTTGTACAATTCTGGAATTCGAAGGTGTTGGCCCATTTGTGCGGGTCACCTGACGGATTTTGATGAATGTCCACCTGAGTGCCTTCACGCAGAGGCCTATGCAGCGGACAAGAATGGTCTCCTTACACTATTAATTCAAAGAAGCCTGACCACGATCGGTTCAGGGTTGCCGGACCCCGGCATTCCATTGCGCTCTGCTATTCCTCAGTTTCTCCTCAACGACGTTAACGACAAGGGCGAACCAAAGGAACTCGCCATCAGCGGAACACGGATGGCTGCACTTTTGCCGCGATTCCTCAGGCTATCTGCCTTCGTCGCTCGAGAACTTGGTTGTGAGATGCGTGAGCAGCGGCAGCAATTCGCTGATGTGAAGGCCGGGACTGTCATACCTGCGGAGCCCTCTTCCTCCAACCCCACTTCTATTGCTGACATTCCTTCCACCACTGGCGACGGGCGCCCCACCCGCATCTGGTATGCCTTACTGAGTGGTATGGTCACTAGGGCCGCTTTAGAGGGATACCTAGGACGTGGTTGGTTGGGGCCCGATGCTCTTGAAATCCTTTTTGGTATTGGGGTAGGTGTGGACTGGGAAGATGTTGTTGGGAAACCTGACGAAAAGGATGTTTCCGCAATGCGTGCCCGCTCGGGATCGACCTCATCCGACGTGAAATCCGTGGAGGATGATGGAGTCAGCCAGAAGCGAGGATCGATTGACACGTCACTTTCGGAAGCTTACGCTGCCCAGTTTGAGCCCGATGGCATGCCTACGTTAGCCGAGGCTGCGAAAATTCTCTTCAAGCGTGGTATTCCTACTGGCGTCACGGGTACTCAGTCAGAGTTGAGTGTTATCAACTCCTATGCGAATGGATTCCAGACCACATGTTTGGGAAACACACGCCCCATTGACACTGATCCTGAATGGGCGGTTGAGATGACTGAACGTGTCTCCGAGGTTAGTTTCCTCAAGGCGAACTTGATTCTCTTGCTAACTATCCATATCCTCAGTTTGCCAGTGTGCACCATACGACCGACCTTCACACGCATTTGCTTGACCTTTCGAAGCGATATCCGGCTGAGCCTGTTGAACGTGCAGCTCTTCGATTCTTGGAAGCCATTGCTCAGTGGCGTGGTCTACCAGAATTGGAACAGGTGGGTCCAATCATCTGGTCGTGCCCATAATTTGATTGCTAACTGATCCTCCGACCCCACAAGTACAAGGAACGTGTTCGAAAAGCCAATACCGTTGCGACGCAGCCCTCGGCTTCTCTGGAGCGCCGCCGTGGTTCTCTGTCCATTTCTTCTCTCGTGCACCCGACCTTTGAGCCCAGCTCTTCCGCTATCTCATCCCAGTTAAATACTCCCGTTACTTCTCCTGTCCTTAAATACTTTGTCGTCCCGAAGTATGTCATCGCTTCTCTCCCTCCTTATCCCTCAAAAAAACGCGTGCGCGATGAAGGCCCTGAGGCTGAAGCAAAGCGATTAAAAACCCCTCGTGTAGGTGCATCATCATCTGCAACCGCTGCAGCTAATACATCTCTACCTGGAATCCTATCTGCACCTGCAAACCCTCTGGCTGAATCTTCCTGGACTGGGCCTACGGTGTTTAATAGGAAGCATAATTTCCTGTCTCCTCCCGATGTACATGTATATAACCCAGTTAAAAAGCCTCGACTCATCGCTTTGTTATTTTGCACTTAAAAACTAGAGTGCGTTCTTCGCACGCGCAACGTTTTTAACTAAATTTTAATACTTAAGTGCAGTGCAAAGTATGCATTGGAAACATGAGAATGATTTGTTAAGTCCCGGCGATGCGAGTTCAGCGCGCGCCTACAGAAAACATGTTTGTCTCGAATGATGAAACGAAAAGAGAGCCATTAGTGGCAAAGGAAATCGAGTTAGAGTTAGAGGTGGAGCAAAGTGCTCACGTGGCATACCGACGTCGGAGTTAGTTTTGTGCAGAGATTGACGCATATCGAAAGTCATATGTAACTAGTGATGCCCCCTGCTCTGGTTAGGGCCCTCAATGACCACTTTTCATGTGCAGAACTGCTGTCACAATGGGCAAGGGAGAACCCTGGGAAAAGCTGCACGATTCTCTGTCTGACTTGCCTATAAAAAGAGGATTCCCTTGTCCTGGATGCAGCAGGCTGCCCCCTTGACTCCCCCTCATGATTCAGAGGATTAGCACTGTAGCAGCCCTCCAGCCATGTCAATCTGACATGGCTACGGAGAGAGCTTGCTTCGAGTGTTAAACCGCTCCGCATCAGAGGTGGGAGGGGATTGGATGCTTTTGGAGCCACTATAAATCGACCTTGTCAGCCGGGTCATGCCCACAGCCAGCAGCTTCACTTTAGACCCTCCTGGCGGATTGGAGGAAATTGACCCCAGATACAGTGGGGGTCGAGTTTTTCCACGACCTTTCAAGGCAGTCCATCGCCTGTCGCATCACTAATAAGCGCTGTACTCAATTGGCGACGACGACTCGCAATTTCATTCGCACCGCATCCGAGTTTGGAGTTATGCCAGCGAAGTTCGAGGTGGACCCACTGGGGGACATTTGGTGGGCCTTGGAAGAGGGCTCTGAGCTGCGTACTTTCACTGCGGCTTGGAATATTTTAAAAACAAAATTTACTGATTTTCTTTTACATCTGGAACGCGCGCAGAAGGCACTCGCTGCGCTGCTGGGCCATTTCCCCCACCCGATCCGAACCCAAACAACCCAGCCCAGCCCAGTATGCCCTCCCAGCCCAGCTCCCCTCCCTCCAGCGTCGCGTCGACACCAGGAAATGACACGTCAGCCCCCTGCGACACGAACCATTCCTGGACCGATGCAAACGGTTTTTGCCCAACCGCGCCAGCCGACCCCACCTCCCTCCCCCACCACTCCACTGCGTCGTCCCCAAGAAACAACGTGCCCGCTTTTTCAGGCGCAGTCTGTTCTTGAATCGACGTGTTTGCCAGTGCCAATGCCGCCCCCAATGTCGACATGTCTGGCCATCCCACCACCGATTCCATGGCATTCATGCCCAGTAGCCTGACCCCCCTCTCCCACCACCTCTCTGCGTCGTCCAACAACCCCACCACGACCGTGTCCGGCCGTCCCACTGTCGATTCCATGGCACTTGCGCCCGATCCAACAGCGCCCGGCCATTCCACCCCCAATCCGATGGAATTCGCGCCAGATTACGCACCGTCCGCCCCCCCAACCACGTCTGGCCCCCTTCCCACCTCTCCCTTCGACTTCAGCGCGCCCTGAAACTGCGCTGTCGTCATCGTTGTCCGAGTCGTCACCGTCACCCTCCCCACACCCTCCCGTGCCAAATCTGGCGCATCTATCAACTCAACTGCATCCAGTACCACGACAGATGCATCCTGGCCCCCTTGGTCGCGTCCACCATTGAAATGGGCGAGTCTGGCACCCATCCAGCCGCGCACGGACCCATTCCCGCTTCCCCCTCCCGATCTCCCCAGCCTGCTGCATCCACTGGGTGAGCCACCACCCGAATCCACTGTCAGGGCCCTGTGGGCTGGATTGTGGGGGGCTGCTGTGCGGCCCATTGGAGTCTGGGGGGCTAGGGCCCTATTTTTTATATTTTCTTAAAATTTATCATAAATTTTATTTCTTAATCTAAACCTTGTGCCAAGCTTTCCCACCGGGTTTTGGGGCTGGCCAAGGGATTTTTTCTGTATTGTGGCACTTCTCTTTCTTTTTCTTTTTCTGTTGGACTATTATTGTCCTGCACAGAGACCCATAAGAGGCTGGGGGGCGATGTTGTGGAAATGGATATTCCCCATTCTATATTATCACGTGGCATGTAAATAATAACAACTTAACCAACTACAATCTGTTGGAGGAACCATGTGCTATGAGGGTACTCCAACGGAGTTAACCTGAACAGCCACATTCCTGCGTTAGCGTGGGAACATTCTGGGAGAGCAACTTGCCCAGAATCCACCATGTAACTACTTAGTCACAACATGTCAGAAACAGTATTTGAGTATTCATGGGAAGTGCAGTGGAGTGCAGTGGCATGAGTGGACACTTAGCTAATGTGCTACTCTGTTGCAAGGCATCATGGGGGTTGGGACTTTGGCTTCAACAACTTAGCTGGAGTGTTGCACCATGCATTCTAGGCTGTCCCATATTTCAAGTTAGTGGGAGGGACCTTGCAGTGACATTGACTCAGGCAGAGATGAAGCTTAGAGGCAAACTTAAGATGAGAGTACTTTGAGGGGATTTCTAGTCGATATTTGAACTGAGGTACATCAATAGTAAACTACAAGTATAAATACGAAAAGAGAACAAAGAAGGGGCTGGTCAGTCTGGCACCTGAACAGGAAGCAGAGCGGTAACCACAGCGAACTGAATGAGTGGCATGAACCAGTTTTAAGGAATGGATGGAAGTGAAATGTCAGGGCCCGGCCTCGGACTCGGAGGCTCCCTGACCTCAACCCCCATCTAACCTGACCTCACACTATGCAGGGCATGAGATGTATAGTAAAAGAGAGTGAAATATATACACTTGCCTATGTGGGGCATGAGATGAGAAGAAGGGTAAAAGTCTCATCTCCCCACATGGTTGCTATATAAAGGAATGGGTCACATGCCCACAACTATACAGCTCCTAGAGTTGTGTAGTGTGACCCGGAGGGAACATCCAGGTGGCAGTGCCCAGTAAGCATGGGAACGTTCTGGGCAAGTTACTTGCCCAGAATTGTGGCTGTGACCCATGGGAACATTCTGGGCAAGCTGCTCACTCAGAAAGTTTTCATGCTATCCTGTGCGCACGTGTACACAACACACAAAGGCAACAACAAGGCAACAATCAAAGAATAAAGGGAGTAAAGTAGGTGGGGAGTCCAGGGCACCCTAAGGCAGGGTGCTGAACCCTGACAAAACAATATTAATGTGGAGATGGCATAGAGAGAAGGACTGAGGGGACCAACAACCTGACACCAATATGGTGAAGGATCAAGTGTCAATATATATATAAGTGTCAAAAACCCTGAAAGAGGGTGTGAGTCCAAATGCAGGTGGGGCTCAACTAGAGGGGTTCTGAGAACTCTGGTAGTGGACCGAAGCTTCTCCAGGAAGCCCAAGTCTGCTGGGTGGTACAAGAGGCTCTAGGAAGGATGCAGCCTCAGTGACTTGGAGGGAGCGCTGTGCCTTTGTTATGTCTCAGTTAGTCCATTTATTTCATGTGTCTGAGGTATCTTGTAGGAGGAGGTCAGGATTCACTCATAGAGGGACTTGGGGTAACTTTTAGTGGAAGATTAGAACTGGGGTACAATGGGTTCTAATCTACAAGTATTTATATATGGAGGAAGGAGAAGGACTTTAGTCAAAGTCTGAGTGATAATGGAAAACACTGAAAGGTGCTGAATGATACTGAAAGGCACTGAAAGGTCCTGAACGATATCCTTAACAGGGAACTGAGGTGTCTGGTCAAGAAGGGTGGAGGATGAATGGGAACGAGAAATGGGTAAGAGGAAGTTAGCTGACTGAATGGAAAGAAGGCAACAGTCATACTATAAATGGAAGGTGACTAATTTGTGATGACATGAGTGGGATCACTGGAGGATGTGGGTAGCTCTGAAGGTGTCATATCCATACAATCCCGACCTCCACTCTGGGCTCCTGGAACTCCGAAACTGATTCCGGAGCCCTACTTCCCTTCCATCACCTTCTCCTTGCCGACTCCCAAGAGGTTATCCCACCTCCAGCTCCAACACCACCTTCAGTCCGACTCCGGAACATTCTGGGTCCAACCTCAACCTCGACACCTCCCAGATGAGCACGCAACACCTATGCCCCTGACTCTGGACCTCTGCTCCAGAATCCTGTTTTGCATCTCTGTCTCCAGAACCTCCGGTCTTAGCTCCGACCTCGGACTTTGACCCCACCTCCACTTATACCCATTGTATTGGTTAGCTCATTCCATTTAATTACATTTGCCAATATTCCAGAGTTTAACTTCCGAGTTTCGGACTTTCTGGACTTATGTTGGACCTTGCAACTATTGCATTGCTCCATTCAATTCCGCTATACTCCCTCATTCCTATTTGGGCTGCTGCTTCCTTTCTATTCAGTCAGCTGGCCATTCCCCACTCCCATCCTCCTTCCTTCCTCCTTGGGCCTTGGCCCTTCACTCCTCCTTTGGGAAACACCATTGAGTCAAACACTTGACCCTCGGTGTTGTTCCTCTTTCCATCTCCCTTTGTCTCCTTTCGCCCTACCCTTGTTCCTTTTGATTCCGGACCCCTCCTTATATACAATGTACATAGTAACTTGTAACCTCAGTCCAAAATCGACCTGAATTCCCCCCAAGAGACTTTCCCTCTGCTAGATCTGAAATTAGGGACCCCTAGGACAACCAGCAATGGCACAGCACTCCGCCTGAGTCGCTGAGGCCAGGGTCCTTCCACACTAAGTCTCCGATTCCACTCCGGAGTTGTCTGAATCCACCTGGTTCTAACAGAAGGCAGAGTTATGTATCCAAAGGATGTTGGGTGACTCCATGTCAGGGCATGTCTTTGGGTCGCTAGCATAAGTAGTGCATTGCCACATGACCTGTATTCCCATCAACTTCTTCTTTTTGCTTCTTGATCTCCGGTTTGATCTGGTCTGCCGCTGTCAGTTATGATGCTGCATGATCTTCTATCTTCTTTGATCCGTTGCTACCAGTTATTAGTTAGTTGCCTGATAACCACCTCTATCATGTACATAAGACCTTGTGCTGGTGTGGGCATGTCCCCCAGCTTTGATATCAACTAGGTTTCTGGGGCCTTCTTGTCAGGGCACGCCCTGACATGCCCCGCCCAATCCCCGCTCCGCTTCCCTGCTCCGCGCCTCCTCTCCCTCTTCCTTCCTCCTGTTCTCCTTTCCGCCTTTCTTTCTTTCTCTCTTTCTCTTACATGGACCACCTTTCCCCCTGCTCAATGTATCACCGGCGCACACGCCCATCTCCCCTCCTGTATCTTACATCCCTATACTGCTGCCACCGCCACTGCACTCGCCTTGCACCCACAGCGAGCCCTCTCAGGATCTTCCGCGGAAGCACCCGGAGAGCCGTGGCTGTGTGCAAGGGTGACATGGCGCACCCCACGTGATCATTCCCGCATGTATATAATAACACCTGGAGTGGGAACTGAAGAAGTAGCCTTCTTCTCACATTTCCACTTCAGACTAAGTGGTCAGGGACGCTCGCCCTGCAACGGGATCGCCGCTACGCATAGCCGCTATCCGTCCCCCAAGTCCCGCACCCCAGGACCTCGCCGCTTTCAGAGCTGTCCCTGACACTTCTTTGTTGCAAGCACACATGACCCTGACACTCCAATAAATGAAATGGGAGGTGGAATGGTTTAGAGGTATGTCATGGGATGTCAGAGATCCATCAGGAGGTCGGAGCAAATCCGGAGTCTCCAAATGTTCTGACTCGGGACCAAGCTTCCAGGATGGGAGTGGCCAAGGTAAAGTGTGCTGCAAACCAGGCCGGAGCTGAGACAGTTGGGAAGGAAGGTGACTTGGGAAGTGGGGAGTTATGGTGTAGGGGATGATGAGGTTGTTAGGAAGGTGTGATGAAGTGGGAGAGTATGGGGCTGGGATTCCGGGATGTGACAATAAGCGACAATATTAACAAGAGGGCTAAGCGAGGAAAAGGCATGTGGTGTTTGGCACTAAATGAGTAGGGTGTAGCTGAGTGGCCAGGAGGGTTGGAGATAGTGGGAAAGGAGGCGACACTGTGGGACTGCAGGCAGGATATGTCATATCCGTGCATACCTGTCAGGGCAATAGCCCCGAACCCCGAGTCACATGTAAACTAGATACATATAGTCACGTGGACAAGCGGGAACCTCCGGGAAACCGCTTACACACCACCGTAAAATACACCATCTTGTATCACTTACGGCCTTGTGTGCTGAGCAACCCTAAGACCTCACACTTTTTTAAGTGCATGAGGTGTGTTTTACAACACAACCCACAACTACACAATCTCAACATCTGATTCGGAAGCGCTTATGGCGCCTAAACACGCCCGCAAGGGCAAGGTCGCATCTGCAGCGACGTTAAAAAGAAACGAGCGGTTTATTAAGAAACC